CTTGCATTGCTACTTCTGGTGCAGTATTTTAGATATAATTTTACCAACTACTCTGAAATGTAGGTAAGTCTTTCCATGCAAAACAGAAAAGAGAAAAATAATTTGTCTCTCAAATCTGTATGCAGACTTCTGCTGGCACTGTGTTGAGGATGTGCATAGGGAGATGTGATCTGTGGCCGAGGAGCTAAGGCAGTGGCTGTCCCCAGGATAGATGCATTTATACTGGGAAATGTCATTCTGTTATGCTGGTACAGTGCAGCATTGCTTGTAAGACTTACACATGGGCAATACTCAGAGTATTACACAGTGGTATTTCTCTCCCAGCAAATACTGCTAGTGTAGAAACTGACGGATGAGAAGTGACAACTCTTGGTGTGGCAGTTGGGAAAGCTGACATCCCAGCTTTCCGCTCTGTTCAAGGCAGGTATTAACCCCCAAGAAGTTCAACAGTGCAGAGCATTTGCCTTGGTTTAGTATAAAGTCTGGCACCTGAACTTACAGCCCCCGTCACAGACCGTGTAAGCTAAGCTTCCAGACATGCACTTAATCATATCTCTAATGGTGAATAGCTCGTAAGATCTCCTGTTTATCCTGCGGTTCATGCTGGTGAGGTCAGGTCTGGGGTGTATTCAGGTCAGGCTGCAGGGCACATCCAGATCCTCTGATTTAAATCTGCACAGTTCCACAGGTTGCACATCACACTTCAAACAGTTGCTAATTGCTTCAGCTTTTTGGAAGCACCTAAATCCCCCAAGAGCCTGTAGGTTTAAACAAATTACCCTTAAAAATTAACATAAGAAGAGAAAAGCTCTATTAAATGCCATATGCTTTTTTATCTTGAATACTGCTGTGTTAAAAAAAAATAATAGTCCCTGAAATGAATCATCAAAAGAAAGACACATCAATTGCAGGAAATTTTAATAAGCTGTTCTGTGTATTAAAATGAATCTCAAAGCCAATATTATATTGTGAAATCAATCACTGTTAATCCTTGCATCTCTGAAAATTTGCTGTGACTTTGAGGCCAAAACCAAATCTGCTGCTTTCTCTGCTTAATGCACAGAAAGTGCAGCCACAAGTTTACGCAGTGACTCAGCTGTAAACACCATCCCATTGTTCCCCGTTAGTCCCCTCCAGTAGCAAAGAAGCTGGACGAACAGCCAGGTCCTAGTCATCAGAGGCCTCCGGTCTGACATGTAAGCAGCCAGATGCAGACCAAAGTTAGCAAAACCGCGGCTGGCCCTGTGAGGACAGCTTTTTAGTCAACAAGAGAGGGGACGGCTGAGAGACCAAGGCGAAATGCAAGCTCCAGGCAGATGTCAGGAAGCACCTGGGAGGGCGGCTGTTGGGAAGGACTTGCCAGCAGCAATCATCACGCTGCAGCACTCGGCTGCCACAAGAAACTGTGCCACTGGCTGTGCTGAAAATGACGGGGGAGCTGGCACCTTCAGGGGAGTCAGCTGGAGGAGAGAGGAAGAGGCCTCCCTCCATATTTTCTTACCATTTCTATGTAAAATCTTGCTTCTACCTCTGGTGAAGGCTCCCAGTAGGGACCTTTCATCTTGGGTTCCCTCTTCACTTCTTCCACAGGCTCCAGGTATTGTTCCACATCCCATATAAACGCCTTGCTCCTTCCAGATGCAGCCCTTACCTGAAGGTCCCTGCCAATCTCCATCGCTCCCCTGTTGCTCTACTCTCTCCCACAGCACCCGGGGCCACAGTGCAGCCTGATGTCCCTGGGGAGGCCCCCTCACTGGTGCCTTCCCTGCACAGTGCATGGACCAGGACGTTGGCAGGGTCATCCTAAGTCACAGGTTACCCTTGGGTCCCTCTTGGCTGCTGGCAGTTGGGTTAGAGCATTTCTGCTCCTCCACCTCTCCCTCACCTCTAGTTGCTCTGTTGTTCACACCCATCCTTGCCCATTGCTGGGACCTTCTCCCTTTCTGCCTGCTCCTCTGATGGTTTCTTTGCCTCCTTAAATGTCTCTCCCTTTTTTTTTCCTTTTGCCAATGTGCACAGACCCTGCCCCCCCTGGCATGGGGATGGTTTGATTCCCCAGGAGCTTGCTGCAGCCACGCTGGGAAGCATCTCCCCCAGCAGGGCAGCATGCTGGGAGCAAGGGGAGCCAGGACCACTGCACTGAGGGACTACCTGGAGGGACTGTGCTCTCCTTGCAGAGACACTTTCTCCTGAGCATCTTCACTTCATTTCCCCCCTCTGTTCCCATACAAAGTGGGGCAGGCAGTGTCCCGGCAGGCTTGCTCATGGCAGCACCTGGCCCTTGCACAGGAGTTCAGGGGAGGTGTGACAGCTCCTCCCAGCCCATGCTGGAGGACAGGCGCTGGGGCTACTCCCTCCACACTCCCCTCTCAGCAGGAGGAAACCCCTTCTCAGCTGCATGGAGTCAAGGCTGCCCTTTAATGTCAGGCTCTGGCCCCTGGCCAGGAGGGGTGGGTGGCATTTCTACCTCCTTGGTATGGCCATGCAGCCTGGTGGGGGTTTGCTGTGAGCAGGACCCCCCCATTTCACTGTGTCCCTGCACTGCTGTTGCACCGTAACAGTTTTTGGGGAGTGGGTTGGGGTCTGTAGCAGGAGGGAGAAGCCCTCTGTTTCTCCAAGCAATGGAGATGCTCCACACCCTCCACGGTGACTTTCCCTGTCAATGCAGGGCAGAGATTTTTTGGGTTAGCACCCACCGAAGCAGTTATTTTGGCAGCCAAAGCCTCCTGCTGTCTCTCTGGCAAAGGGGAGGGCAGGCACCAAACCTATTCTCTGCCTTCTCACTGTTGAAAGTGGCCATGCATAATTTATTCTACCCAGCTGCTGTCGTGGTACAACTTTAATGCACACTGATTCGGTTACCAGCAGGGCTGGCAGGGACAGGGATGGTCTGTTAGGAGCTGGCTGCAGGTCCCTGAGCCCCTGAAGGTTAGAAAAGGGCAGGTCTGCGCTGTCCCCATCCCTCCCTCCTGTTCACAACGGTTGCCATGTGGTCTGTAGCTCACAGCCTTTCCTGATGGGATAATCCGTGGCTAAACCCTGTGAGTGCCAGATGGAGTTCAGGCCTGTTTGTTCTCTGTGTTAATAATCCAGAATGTCATTAATTTTTCTTATGCATTGTGGCAGGTTTTAGTTGTTGGGGTTTTTTTTTTAAAAAATGTGGTCAGATGGTGATGTGAACATGCTTTTCTGAGATCCCTATGGAGTTAGCCTGGTGCATATTTGATCATCCTCAGCTTGCAAGACAGCTCTCCAAGTCCAAGATTTGAAAGCAGAGTTACTGTCTGAGCCAGCACAATGAACAAGAGAAAAGTTATTTTTCAGATGGGAAGGCTGCAGCCCTCAGCTCTGCTTTGCAAATGTGAAACCCCGTAAAAGCCATTCCTTCCAGATGCTCACTGCTGAAATCCTGCTGCTATAAGCACCTGCTCAAAATTAAGCAAATGCTTTGCTTAAGCTCGAATTCAAGCATGTGCTTATATGCTTTGCTGATCTGGGGTCCACTGCATCAGACCTCCAAAGCTAACAGGCGGAAGCAGCAGTGAGTCAATGCTGGTAGATGGGAAGGAGAGGCAGCTGCCTCCCGAATTCAAAGGGATGAGGTGTGGGGTAATGCAGGGAGAGAAGATCAGCTGTTTCACTCTTCTTCTGACTGATATCAGAAAGGTGACAGGGTGAAGCCCGCTGTGGCTGGTGTGGAAGTCTGGGTCACTAGAGGGTTTTGTTTGTTTAGTGATGTTGCTGTCTAACCACCCGTGTCTTGGCAGCCCTTTCGGTCCCTCCTGACCTGCTTGCGCATACACCTAGCACCTCCCAGGGTTGAGAAGAGACTATAACAACCCAGTAAAGTGCCAAAGCTTGTTGCTGTGTTGAGCTGAGGACTAGGTAGAACCTGCTGGAGGATCTCAGGACCTCACCGCACAGTGCAGGATCTGCATGTATGCAGATGGTCAGGGGCTGGTTCCCAGCATTTCCAGTAAATTCTGGATTTCAGTGTTAGAGAAATCTGCCTTCTTGCTACGCTTTGAAGGAATGTTTATGCTTGGTTTGGTTTTATCAGCAGTAGCTGGTTTCTTGTGTTTGTTTTTGCTGCGGGGTTTTTCATTTTGAAGAAGGGTTTCGCAGCTTTGACTTAGGCGGTGTCTGTGCTTCAGCCAGAGAGATGGGTGCCCACTGCCGAGCCCCGCAGGTGTCGGGGACAGCTGGGGCACCCAGTGAGCACTGCCTGGTCCCTGCACAGCCCTGGTGAGGGAACCGCCCCGCAGCAACCTGAAATGTCATTAGAAAAATCATATTCTCTTAATTGAGGGCTCGTGCTCCTGGTGCCGCTGGCTGAGCTTGCTGCTAGGAGCAGATGCCTTTGGAGAGCAGGCCCTTCACTGTCCACAGCTGCCCACAGTGGGAGGTCCGACTTGCACTGAGGTCTCGATTTTTGAGTCAAAATGCTCCAAGAGCTGGGCCAGAGGCTGTGCTTAGCCTTAACTCTGTGTGGTTCACCCATCACTCCTTCATCCCTCCTGCCCAGCGTCCCCGGCTCTCTAGTGGGGATGGAGGCTGGGAGAGTGACAGGACTAGACTTGTCTATGCTGCCCAGTAATGCTCGGGCCAGATGGGTATGAGTGCCTCGACCGTATGCTGCCAGTGAAGGGTGGCCTCGGTGGTCGGAGGTCCACCCAGAGCTGAGCCGGTGGCCAGCTCTGTGCAGCCTGGGCCAGCCCTGCTGCCTGCAGCCCAGACCTGCTCCTCTCCCCACCTCCATCCCTTTCTGCGCTGTGGCAGGACTGGAGTGTTATGCCTGGGGAAGGAGGGAGCAGGGAAGGTGTCGCTGAGCGGGGAGGGTGTCACTGAGCACAGGCTCCCCTGTGTCTTGTGGCCTCCAGAAAAGTAGTGTCCCTTTCCTCAGCAGAGCCAACAAGCCTCTAGCTGGGCAATAACAGCTACACCACAGCTCTCATGGCTTTGATGTCCAGCCTAGAGAGGCGTAAGGAGTTTGCAGACAAGTTCAGAGGTGCAGCAAATCCAGCTACTCCATAAGCTGCAAAGCTCAGTTTTGTCCACTGAGATCTAGAAAGCGGGAAGAAATCATTCCCTTTCCTTGTCGCTGTTAATTTGAAGTGTTGGAGATTAATACTTAATTATTTGTGTTAGGTCCTAAAAAATACTTGATAAAACAGACTGCTCTGCCTCAGCACTTTCCTCAGCAGAGGCCGTCTTCATTACTGTCTGCAGGAGGGATGCTACAGCCCCGCAGGAGGGGGGATGCCAGACCAAGCCTGGGCAGGGGGGACAGCTGCAAACTCAGGCTCCCCTCTCCCCAGAATCAGTTTTTGCCTTGACCCATTGCTGCTCTGGGCTAAAACATCCCTGGTGCAAAAGCAAGGTGGCGATGGCCAGGAGAGGCAGCGGGCCAGGGTGAGTCAGAGCCGTTCCTCAGCTGGGGCTGTCCATTCCCATTGCAGGTTCAGTGGAGAGCCTGTCTCACACGACCTCGTCCCCGCAGCCATCGCCAGCTGCCTCCACCCACGCCTCCCGCATCGCAGATCCCTCCTTCTCGGTCGACCACGCTGCTGCTGACGCATCTGCCGCAGAGGAGACCCCCAGCGAGTCAGAGTCGGTCTTCCTCCCTGACTACCTCTTCCTCTCCAACTGCGAGTCGGGCAAGCTCAGCCACAACAGGTAGGTGTGGGGTCTGCCAGATGCATCGGGCTGGAGCCACCCTCTGCCTGCCCAGCGATACCCTGGGAAACTGGGGCAAACTTGTCCTTGAGCCCTACTGCTCAGGGTAGGCTCCCGAGCACAACAGGGGACCATCAGCTTAATCTAATTTACAGGAGGCTTTTCGTAGCGCAGATTAGCGGTCAAGCGTTGTATGTTGGTCCTGTCCCTTCCCAGGGTGAGTGGCTGGGGACCTCACATATGGCCTCCCTCCAGACACCTTTCTACCTGCTGCTGCCCAAGGTGCTCCACAAAGCGCCCAATCCCCCAGCCCAGCTCAGGGGGCACCTTCTACAGCCATAGGGAAGGGACAGATTTTGTCCCAAACTGTGGGGTTGGGTTTTTTTGCTGTGCGCTTGCTCAGTTGCAACCAGCAGAAAAGGAAAGCGCAGGTCCTGACCTCTGTCTCTGTGCAGGTGTGACAGCTGGTCGAATTCAGACAGATCTCTGGAGCAAACCTCATCGGATGATGTTTTTGTCGACTCCTTGCAGTCCCAGCCCTCCTTGTACCTTGTACAGCCGTCCAGCGCTGGCACTGTGCACCAGGATGGGGCCCCGTTGGCAAACCCCAGCACTGTGTCCAGGACCATAGACATTAACGGGCCACCCAGTGACTTTTCCTCCTCTTCTCCACTGCTGGGGACGCCGCTGACACCAACCTTTCAGATTGACAAGAGCCAAAACGTGCTGCCCTACGGTGTAACCCAGCTGGACATCCTGTCCAACACACCCCCACCGCGGCCGCCCAAGCCAACCCACTTCTCAGACAGGAGAGGGGATGAGGTGGGTGGTGGGGCCCTCCAGAACGGGCACGCAGGGGTCTGCCGGGCTCAGGTCGCTCTGGTGCCCAGGAGGATCTCCTTGTCCAGCCTAGACAACGTGAGGAACTGGAAAGGTGAGTGCATTTCCGAGAGCCAGCAAAGCAGGGCAGGTGTGAGGGATGGAGCTGCACACCAGTGCAGAGTGGGTGCCCACCTCCAGTTGTGCCTCCCTGTCCTCCCCCCTGCGAAATCATACACCCCCCAAAGCAACCTGAAATGCTTGTTTCAAATTAGTTAGCGAGCAGGATTCAGACCTGTCCCTCACATTCATCTCCTGCTCTGTAAAAGCCCCTCAGTGTGTACACATGGGCAGCGAGTTGGCTGTGATCTCTTCAGGGTGCCTCATGAATTGCTAGTTTTCCATGCCCGCTCCCTCTCCAAAAAAGAAAGCAGTAGAAAAACAAAAATGAAAAGCCAGCCGCTGAATCAGGCAATGCCAAACTCCTTAGTTATACATGTCAAAATGTGGGCTTGCACATGGGAAATGCCTTTGTAGCTGTGCTGCTTCGCTACGTCCAGTCCTTTCCATAACAGCAGCATGTCTTTTCGCAGCTTAGAGTAAAGAACGGGAAGCCAGGGAGACGCTGGGGATGGGATGTAATCCTAGTTGAACCAGGGACTCTGTCCTTGAGCAAATCCCACTCTGACCTTGCACTTCCGTCAGGGTAGCCTGAAAACCCGCTGCGGAGCGAGGCTCTGCTGCAAAGCAAGTTCTGCTCTGAGCTGAGGTGACTTTTCCATTTGTTCTTGAAACACCATCATTGCAAACAAAAATAAGTCAAAACCCCAGAACATTAAGGTGTCAAAAACCAGCATACGCAGTATGAGAAAATCTTATTTTGTGGAGCCACAGAACAGAGGGATGCAGCTGAAATACCTGGCTGGAAATCATCAAGTATTTTGCAGTGATGCGTCATTTTTTTGAGGAAGAAAAAGTAGGTTTTTAAGGACGAACGTCCTTTAGACTCCTGCAGTTTGAATGACCAACCAGTGTTTGGGGCCGTTAGATCTTGCTCTTAAAGCTCAGAAGCTAAAGCAAGGAGACCTCTGTCCAGTCTGTTTATCAGTGTACAAACAATTCTTGGAAGGTTTCTGGAGAAACACCCATCAGTGGAACTGGTATTCTTAATTATCAGTTACATTCGGTTGCTCCCTGAAAGGTGCTGCTCTTGCTTCCGCACGTGTGCTGCTCTAACGACGCCAGCGTGCTTGAGACAGTTAATGTTCCTCCAACCCAATTTATGACAAAATGTTTTTAAGAGGATTAAGTGGCCAAATGTCATGTTCTGCTACTGTGCTGCAAGGTTATCTCTGCCTGACAGGGGGCAGCAATGAATTAATAAGTGCTGCTATTTTTTTCCTACCCTAAGTGCAGCTGAAACTGAAAGGTTAAACTCTGAATTAAAACGTGTTTAACAAGAAAGATCGGAAAAAGAAACAGGGAGAAAGCAGCTGTTCCTCACCAGCTCCCAAAGTGAGCCCACTCGAGTTATTTACTTCATGTTTTGCCCTTGGCAACCTGTAAAAGCTGAACAGATGTAGTTAACCCAGTGCAAAGGCAGCGTATGCTGGTTGCAGTGCCATGAAGGGGAACGAGCTGTACGTGTGTAAGGCACCTGTATCCTGGCATCTGCTGGAGTGTTGTGCCTGAATATCTTTTTGCCGAAATAATAAGCAAATGTAGCTGTCCCAGGACAGCGACTGTGTCTATCGGAATATATACGTGCGCTAACAGTATTGCTTCGTTCTTGTTTAGCGCTTTCGCCTTTTATGCTGGTTACCACCACAGAGACCCCCACTTGCAGTGCAGTATTGACATCTCCGCTGTAAGAGCGGGGACTGGATTAACACGGTTGAAAGGTTTTAAGGCATTCCCACAGAAAAGCCATTTTCTGCACAGAAAATAATTTTCCAGAAAAGGATGGTAGTTGTAAGCATCTCCCGCTGCTGATCTTCTATGCACTGAATGCTGGATTTCAATTTTTTTTTGCCTTTTGCTTCAAAAGTAAAATTGACCTACACCAAGACAAAGACCATCCTGCACAAGGGGACACTGTGACTGGTGACCTTTTTTCTGGCTGTTCGTTCCCCATCAGCTTGAGCCACTTGCACCACATCAGCTTTTCTGGGTGACAAAGAAAAGCATTTCTCTCCTACCATTAAGCTCTGCCATGCACCTTCTGTACAATAACATGTGCTTCCCTGGCACCTTACATACGAGGCTCCCAAATAACTTCTCAAACAATAATGGATTAATATTTCCTACAATCCCTTTTCATATAATTTCCCCAGTTTGACAGACGGGAAAATAGAGCAGGACTGGAGCAGGAGCTGGGTTTAAATTTTTGCTTGGTTGCTTGCTCTCTACACCACACCAGTCTTTCTCCTCAACTGCTTGTGTTACAGGAAACACAAGCTACAGCTGGATTATACATGACCATGTTCCTTGGTTTCATCATACTTAAAATAGATGTAATTGCTCTTGAAATGTTACTGAGTTGGTTCTGGTCTTAAATGTCATTGGATTTCCTCATTTAGGATAAATACTAGGAGTTATGGAATCTTTATAAAGCTGTAATTATTTTAGAGCCATATGCTTTACTCCAGAATTATCTCCATAAGGTTGTACTGCCTTATCACATTTTTAATCACATTTTTCCCTTGCAGCAGACATGGAAGGCAGTTCCTTAAGAAGTCGGGATAAGAGGCTTAGCTTGAATTTGGTAAGTACTCTGCTTGCATAATTTAAAACACTGGCACATGACAAACTTCAGAAAGTGAATCATTTCACATCCTGATATTCAATCATTCCTCTCCTGTGTTCAGCAGAAGAATAAAAAAAATGGAAGTAGTACTTGGCTTTGGGCATCTTCTGTGCTGCTTCTCTGCGGCCGCAGGAAGCCTTTGAGGGAGGGGGAGGCCACCACACTGAGCACCCTGTTTTTAAAGTAGGTGAAGCCAGGTCTGTTATGAAAAAGGATACCAGTAGCCTCGAGAATTAAACTGTTGACAAAGAGCACCTGAGAAAACTGCTTATCTCTTGAAAAAAGGGTCTAAAGAAGCCTATCACTTCATGATCCTGAGGGATATCCCCTCTTTAGGACATAGAAAAGAGTTTGCTCTCAAAGCGCCTGTGATTCAGGGCTCTGTCAGTCCAAAGCTTCCTGACTCTGCCTTTGACAGTCATGGTTGTATCATCACACATCACGTAGCCAGTCTTCTGGCTGGCGCTGGACACTGTCTTCCGTGTGGGAGATCCTTTGCTGCTTGTATGTAAGTTCTGGTGGTGGGCGACATATTTTTCTCCCCTTTGAAAGCTTGCAAGGCTTGTAATCAATCCCTCTCACCACTCAGCCAGCTCTAACCTGCATGAAATGTATTTCTAGTGTTTATTCTCAGCTATCAGAAGTAACTTGTATGTCTGCGTGTCTGCTCTCTCAGCTTCCACGTTTGCAAAAATCTAGTTCATCAGATGTTCTCCTTTCAGATGTGGTTTTTGTATGAAGGACCCCCCTTCGTTTTACAGGTCAGAATTACTGCTGGGAGAGTCAAGCGCAGCCTCACTGAAGTTGGAGGATTTAACCTACTTAAGTGACCAATAAGTTTGGTCCTCGTTTCCAGCAGTGACTTGCAAAGCTCAGAAATGGTCTTCTCCAAAGCTGGAGTGTGCATCTGAACTCATGCATTTGTCTTGCGTCTTTCCAGCTTGCGCTTCTCAGGTCACGTCAGGACTCTCCTGGCCTGGAGCTCGGCTCAGATCTGTTGCCATCTCACTGCACCTCCTGGCTTGCAGGGGGCTAGCTATTCATTTATCGATCCATTTCTTTCTTTTCCTCCTTTGCTTCTGAAGCCCTGTCGGTTCTCCCCGCTCTACTCGACTGCTTCGGACAGCACGGAGGACAGCTACGTGCCCATGCGCCCCAGCACCTCTCCCTCTGCGCCTGGCTCCGACTGTTCACCCGACGGCTACATCCCCATGAGCCCCGGCTCAGCCACGTTTACCTTCCCTGTCGTCAGCACTGAAAAACTCACCAGCCCATTACCTGAGCTTCCCTCAGACCTGGAGCCCCCTCCGGTGAACCGAGACCTCAAGCCTCGTAGGAAATGTAAGCCCAGACCTAAAATGCAATTGGCAGCCAGGGGGTCCTGATAGCGGGGACATGGGTGACCTCCTTTGATGGTGTCCTTGGCACATTTTAAAGTGCTTCCCGCTCTAGAAGAGGGATTGAATTGCTGTGTAAGTGGTTTATAGTACTGTAACACAGGATGCGTCCGCAGGGTGGTTTGCGAGCAGAGGAATAGCATCCGTGCCTACTTTTGCAGTCGGAGACCGGGTGGCTGCATTAGCATGGTGCATGGCTTCAGATCCACTCTGACTGCAAATCACCAAATGGACGTAGCCTTGGAGAGACAGCAGACTAAATCCTGCAGCTCTGAAGTACGTGTACTGCTGTCTCACCAGCTCCCTGACCTTCCAGGAACAGGACATCCAAACACTCAAATACTCAAACTTGATGTGTGGGCTGTTGGTTAAACCTCTGTTGGGTAGGCGCAGCTGTCTTGGTTTAATTAGGAATTTCCTGCAGATGGTTTTACTGATGGTAATTTTCCACTCCTGCTTTTCATGGCATCTCCAAAATCTGGGTTGCACTTCCAGAGGATATACTGGGGACAAAATTCAGCTTTGCAGTGGAGAAATTGCCTAAGCCTAGCCTACGTTACAGCTCTTTGGGCTGCAGAGCCACAGGGCTACTCAGAAATTGGTTCAGGAAATGCTACTGTGAAGTGCAGACAGAAACTTAGACCATTGCCAGGAAGTAAAGCAAGCTCCGGTCCTTTCTTAGGGGTTTTATGAGAACGGGGTAGAAAATGTACATGGACTGGTGAGAGGAATGATCTTGATCTCCACATGTAGGACCTTTTTGTTTAGAAGAGAGCCCAAAACCTGGTTTGACCTGTAGGCTGAACTGGCCTCTCCTCTTGAAGGCAGCATACGCAGAGCAGATTTGAGGCAAGCGCACGGATCTTGTGGGGCATTTGCTCTCCTTATGCCCATTGTATTTATTCTGTTATTTTAGGGTAAATGGGGGACTTCGCTTTCCAGCGCTGACTGAAGTGGTCATTTGTTACCGGTTTCTGCCTTGGTTATATCAGTTATGTTCTGTGAAATACTCTGTTAGTTTCTTGCTGTTAATACAAAACTTCATTTTTCTAAACAGTCTGTACTTTTCATTAGCTCTGCTATTGGAAATGTAGTTCCTTTTGTATCTACTTGCAGCACGGCCACCTCCTCTGGACTTGAGGAACCTCTCCACAATCCGGGAGCATGCTGCCGTGACCAGGATGTGGACTGTGCCTTAGTAAGTCAACAAGAAACCTGCCGTTCCAATCTTTTAAGCATTAACATTGTGGAATGGAGTTAAAAATAACTTATCACATCCCACAAGAAACAGTTTCCTGGCAAAGTCCACGAACAAAAATTTCCCAGGGCTCCTTCCAGCATCCCCCAGGCTTTTGCTGTCTCTAAAAAGCAAGGCTCCCTTTCACGACGGGCAGCTCCAGTGCGTTCAGCATCACACAGTGATGCTCAGCCTATTTTGAAGGTTCCTTTTGAAAAGGCTGGAGCTGGTCTGCACTCTGGTGTGACTGCTGCAATGGCTAAAAGCTGCACATGCCTTAATTACTTTTTTCAAAGTGATAGAGCCATTTTTGTTCCCGAAAATCAATATTGCAAAGGAGAACCAGATAAGATAAAGATCTGCCTGACTTGTAGCGCGGGTGTAGGCTTCCGCACTGCCACGCAGCAATTCAGACTTGATCTGTTGGTGTGACCTTTTGTCACTGGAAATCAGTTGTGGGGTAAAACAAAGGCTTTTGGTCCCAAAGGCCAGGTAGTGTGAACAGGTGATACTGTTGGGCTCCAAGGGCAGTGAAAGACTCATCTTCAGGGAACTCGTGAGCAGGGGAGGACTGCAGCCTGCTGGCTGGGAGGATCTCGGCGCTACGGGGAAAGGCTGACAGGAGAGCCCAGCTGTGCTGAAGTGTGCGTGCAAAAGCCAGGAATTCCCACCAACCTCCTCTGCATACCCCGGGCACTCCGGAAAATGTGTTTTTTCACTAGTATGATTGCCAGACAGGACATTTCCACTCCCCCATCTCAGGTAATGATTTGGAGGGCAAAAGGGACACGAGATGGGCAGTTTCTCAGTTGCAGACCCCTCTCTCAGCCGTACAGTCCAAAGCCGGTTAAGCCCTTCAGCGCTGCCTGCCGCGTGCTGCCTGTTAGGGAAGCCCCAGTAGCCGGCCTCCCCAGCGTCCCTGCCAGAGCGCTGTGGTTAATTAGTGCTGACACAGTGCAGAGTCCTGAAGGATAACAAGGGAGTTCGCATGTTTTACATTAACAAAACTAAAAAAGTATGCCCGGAACTAATAAAGCAAAAGGAATTATACTGTTCATGCTGCACAAAGTGGCCATCTAATTTCCTAATAACTAACCCCATTGTGCCGGCCTGCAATAGTTTACTCATGATATACCTCTGACAGTTATGTTAGTGGTAGAGATTTCCTTGTACGAGGGCTGAGTCTCAGCCATCTCCATAGCATAGGTAGCATGTGTTTGCCCTGTGTTCAAAGCCAGGCAAGTTCCTCTGCATGCACCTCCAGCAGCTGATTAATTCACACCAATCTCCAAAATGTGGATACCCACACAACTAAGTGACTGCCCTATCAGCACATATTACCCAGATGAATGATATCTCTCTCCTTGTTGGAGAATTGCTCCAATGGTTTATGCTTTCTGTCATACCAAAGATGGCAAACTTTCGTAAATCCCAGAGAAAAAAAACCCAGCAAAAACACTCATAGCAATATAGCACGCTTTTTCTAGAACTAAAGAGTGGTTTTGGACATCCTCTCCATAAAGGCTGCAGCGTTACTGTGAGTTTATTCACCATATGGACTGTGTCAGGCTTTGGCTTCATTTCAGAGCATCTGTAAGATGCTTCCTTAACCTCTCCTGTGTTTTTCTTCATAGCAATCGAATGAGCTTTATCTCACCAGAAAGAGACGGTATTAATTCAGCAAGAATATTTGCCAATTCAGTTTCCGGAGAAGAGGAAGAAAGTTACATTCATATGGTAATCTTCATTTTCACACAGCCATCCTTTGCTTTATTCTGCTCTGTCACATTGATGGAGAATGCAGAAGTTTGTTTTCTAAGAAAAAATGTTGAGGAGGTTTGTCCTTTGCCTTCTGTTTTTTAAAAAAAATGATGAAACGGTTTTAAACCAAAGACACTGGGACCAATTTACAGAGAGATAAGGGAAGCCCTTCTTCTGCTCTGCAGAACTCAGCTGTTCGCCCACGAATGTTGCTGAGCAGTTCCAAGAGATCACAGGGATCAGCCATATTTACATGAGAACTCATTAAGGCAAAGGAAAATTAAATCTTTTCACCTTTTAAAAGTGTGCCCTGCAAAATCTCCTAGGAAATGACAGAAAGCCGTTAGTGCACTTCCTAAAGAAACACACCAAATATTGTGCAGAAACAGAACTCCCATTAAAGTCTCTTATTGCTTCTGCTTTGGCTGGTGGCACTAACCCACTTCCCATCCCATGAAAGAAGAACATCTGGCTTTGTGGCTTCCTTTTCTTCATTCACTCTTTAGCCATATCTTGCAAAAGACCAGAATCTCAGTTTCCTTTGAATTTTAGGTGGCAATGGATCTCATATCCCTTGATCTGAGCCAATGTCTACAGATTTGGCTCCATAGCCAAAGCCCAACGGCAGCGGCTATAGAAATATATTGCAAAACTGACCACAATCTCCATGAAGCATAGTCTCAAATTTTAACCCACATCTCTACTAGATCAAAATCTGCTCAGGAGGGTGGTTACAGTTGTAACTACTCCCCATTTGATTTTTCTAGTCAAATAAAACCTTCCATACGTTTATGGTCATCTGTGATTTTCCTGAGATTAATTTTCAGTTGCTAGATTTGAACAGAAATATCACCATTTCTTCAAACTCACGGAACAATGATGGTTAAGAGGGCACCCCTGCAAATCTGAGCTTTCCACGGGCTTGCGTTGAGAAGCTGGGCGCAATTCCTTCCTGATAGCATTGAATGAAAGTCAGCCCGGTTTGCTTGTTTTGCCATAATTACCAGGAGAAAAAGGCGCCCTGTTTCTTTATGCCATCCTGCAATTAATCAGTGTTATCCTGTCGTTAGTCACCAAATGCACCCATGGCATAGAAAATTATGCGGGTGCTGACCCTCCTCACTCGCGTTCTGCCAGACAAGCCTCCCACCTCACAGCTGTAGTCCTGCTTCCTTTTGGGATCATGTTTTAAGAGCGTTAAAAGTTTCTCTTCTTTCCCGACAGGAGCACAGACAGGCAACATCTCCATACAGTGGTGCTTTTCCATGGACAAGGAAATCTAACCTTGATTACTTAGCATTGGATTTTAATTCTGCTTCCCCATCCCCTGTACAGAAGGTATGAGTCATTTGCAAAACCCCACAGCCTCCTATCTTTTTGTTTGCTGGGAGGAAAACAAGACCAAGAGTCAGGCTCTGCTAGGTGCCCTAAGTATCGTCGTGAAGCCAGTCATGTTTCCAGCTGACTGCATTTGTGGCAGGCTCAAGATTAATATAATAAAAGCACTATAAGGGTGATGACAAGGTGTCCTTAGCGTGACTCACAGGGTTGCCATTAACACGAGCTCGGCAGAGGGCATGAGACTGCGCTGGGATGTGCAGCCATGAGGGCTTGTGAGCAAGCTCGTTGGTGCTTGCAGGATCTCTGCATGCTCTTTCATTTTCACCAAGTCTCCACAAACCCTTTCCTGCTAGTTTTCCCCCAAATCTCTTTGCGGTAACAAGTTTACAGCCCATGATAAATTCACGGGGTGAAACCGTACCATCTCTTGTAACATGGCATTATTCTTGCATTACCAAAAGCATTTCAATTTCCTTAGCAATGCTGAGAAAACACATTCCTTGTTCCAAAGAGCTTATAACCCGCCCAGGCGGTGGGTAGGTACCATTGCAAAGCAACGAACTGTTGTCAGTTTGGGCCACTTTATGTCCTGTGTGTCATTTTCCCCATCAGCTAATACTCCTGGATGCAAAAGGCTCAAGACTCCTAAGCTTTCTTAAATTTAGACCCTTCCTTTAGTTAAAATGCAGTTAGGTTATCCCTGCAGCAGGATCACTTGGATGAGAAGGGAATGATTATCTGCATGGAAATAGCCAGAACAGCACGTTTCCCTCGCTCGCTGTGCTGGGCTGAGTGACAGGGTGACAGATGGATAATTATAGCTAAAGCAGGCTGTAAAGCAATGCTTTTGTCAGTTGATGTCACTGTGAGCTTCAAGGTGAAGTGAAGCAATCAAGGAACAAGGGAAAGCAAAAACAGAAAATCAAGGCAAGTTTCACTAGCGTCCCTTTTCAACCCTAAAATTAATATGTTGGTTTTTTCTTTTCTCTCCCACAGAAACCTTTTCTCTCTGAGGAGCAGAGAGTGGACTATGTCCAGGTAGATGAACAGAAGACTCAAGCT